TCATACAACAAATGTTTCTAACTCAGATCCTTTTATGTATTTTATTTGGAAAATACAGAAAAACCGGAAAGTAAAAATCACCTAAATTCCAATACTTAAAAAAAAAAAAAAAAAAATTGTACAGAGTAAAACAAAATCACTCCTTACATCTCCCTTTCCCGCCCCCACGCTCCTTCCCTCTCCTTCTAATTCAGACTCATCCCTGAGACAACCGCTGTTAACAGTCATCTGCAAACGGATACCTAACACACACTCACCACACATACACCTCATTCTTTTTATGACTTCACATTGTATAAACATACATTTTATTCAACCATCTCCCATTAGGCTGTCTCCAATTATAAACAATGCTCCAAAAACATTTACCTATACAGCTTTAAATTCTCTTGCTGTTTAGGACAGACTCCCACAGGGGAACTCACCGTGTCCAAGTGCATAAACATTTAAAATTTTGATAGATACTGCTAAATTACACTACAAAAAGGCTGCTACAAGTCATGTTCCCACCAAGAGGATATGAGCGTACTTGCTTCCTTATCAGCACTAGATGTTATACTTCTGATTGGTACCAGATCTGATAGGTAAAAATGGTACCTTATTTGTTTTAATTTGTATTACCTGCCTATAAATGAGGCTATGCTTCTTTTTTATGTTCACTGGTTATCTGAAATCAATGATTTGACTCTTCATATCTTTAATATTTTTATGCTGAATTACCTATCTTTCTCTAATTTACAGGATCTATCAGTATATAAAAGATATTAAGCCCTTTGCCTACTATATATTACAAATAGTTTCTCACCATCTATATCTGTCTTTAACTATACAGACATTTATCATTCTTATGTTGTCAAATTTATAAATGTTTTCCTAAATAGTTCCTGAATTTTTTGTCCTGCTTAGGAAGGCTCCCCCACCTCCTGGTTATTTCTACATTTTTTTACTTTTGTTTTTTACATTTAAATCTTTAATCTATCTAGAATTTATTTTTGTATATGGTATAAGGTAGGGCTCTAATTCTTCTTTTTCATCTCAACTGTAGGCCATGGCTGGTTTGGGCCTGATGGTCCAGCGCCATCCGTCTTCAGGGCTAGCTGATTCGGCTGGTGGGTTGTTACACGTTCCTTAGCGGACTCCGACGTCCATGGCCACCATCCTGCTGTCTGTATCAACCAACACCTTTTCTGGGGTCTGATGAGCGTCGGCATCGGGCACCTTAACCCGGTGTTCGGTTCATCCCGCAGCGCCAGTTCTGCTTACCAAAAGTGGCCCACGAGGCACTCTCATTCCATGCCCAGCTCCACACCAGCGAGCCAGGCTCTTGCACATTTAAAGTTTAAGAATGGGCTGAGATCATTTCAGCCCCAAGACCTCTGATCATTCGCTTCACCAGATAAAAGTGTGTGGGTTCGACCGTGCAAGGACGCCAGCTCTCCTGAGGGAAACTCTGGAGGGCACTAGATGGTTCCATTGGTCTTTCACCCCTATATCCAGGCTGAATGACCGATTTGTACGTCAGGACCGCTACGGACCTCCACCAGAGTCTCCTCTGGCTTCACCCTTCCCAGGCATAGCTGATGATCATTTTTCCACCTCTCGTCAGTCGGTCTGTCGTACTGCGGGGGCTTGCACGTTGCTGTGATGCCGGAAGCTACACCACCAACTATTTCAAATACTAGCAGGGTTACCCATGGTGGACAGGTTTCAGCGGAGCTTCCAAACAAAGCGAGACTAGGAAGAAGGACCTGGTGGTCTACTTATAAAAAAAAAAATTGACCAGTGAAAACCTTATGAATAGCAGCACAACACTGAGTGATATAGTGCCGGAAGATCAGCCCCTCAGGTTGGAAGGCACTCAAAATACAACTGGGGAAGAGCTGCCTCCTCAAAGTAGACTTGACCTTAATGACGTGGATGGAGTCAAGCTTTTGGGACCTTCATCTGCTGATGTGTCATGACTCAAAATGAGAAGAAACAGCTGCAAACATCCATTAAAAATTGGTCTGTGGAACATACAAAGTATGACTCTAGGAAAATTAGAAGTTGTCAAAAATGAAATGGAACGCATAAAGACCGATATTCTAGGCATTAGTGAGCTGAAATGGACTGATATTGATCATTCTGAATCAGACAATCATATGGTCTACTATGCCAGGAATGCGAAATTGAAGAGGAATGGCGTCGCGTTCATCATCAAAAAGAACATTTCAAGATCTATCCTAAAGTATAACGCCGTCAGTGATAGGATAATATCCATACGCCTACAAGGAAGACCAGTTAATACATCTATTATTCAAATTTACGTACCAACTACTAAGGCCAAAGATGAAGAAATTGAAGATTTTTACCAACTTCTGTAGTCTGAAATTGATAAAACATGCAATCAAGATGCGTTGATAATTACTGGTGATTGGAATGAGAAAGTTAGAAACAAACAAGAAGGATAGGTAGTTGGGAAATATGGCCTTGGTGATAGAAACAACGCTGGAGATTGCATGATAGAATTTTGCAAGACCAATGACTTCTTCATTGCAAATACCTTTTTTCACCGACATAAACGGTGACTATATATGTGGTGACTATACATCCTCACCAGATGGAATACACAGGAATCAAATCAACTACATTTGTGAAAAGAGATGACAGAGAACCTCAATATCATCAGTCAGAATAAGGCCAGGGCTCACTGTGAAACAGACTATCAATTGTTCAAGTTAAAGCGGAAGAAAATTAAAACAAGTCCATGAGAGCCAAAATACAACTTTAAGTATATTCCACCTGAATTTAGAGACCATCTCAAGAATAGATCTGACACATTGAACGCTGATGACTGAAGACCAGACAAGGTGTGGGATGACATCAAGGACATCATACATGAAGAACGCAAAAGGTCATCAAACAGACAGGAAAGAAAAAGACCAAAATGGATGTCAGAAGAGATTCTGAAACTTGCTCTTAAACACAGTGTAGCTAAAGCAAATGGAAGAAATGATGACATAGAAGAGCTGAACTGAAGATTTCAAAGGGTGCCTCAAGAAGACAAGGTAAAGTATTATAATGAAATGTGCAAAGACCTGGATTTAGAAAACTAAAAGGGAAGAACATGCTTGGCATTTCTCAAGCTGAAAGAACTGAAGAGAAAAGTCAAGCCTTGAGTTGCAGTACTGAAGGATTCTATGAGCCAAAAAATATTGAACCCCGGATGCATCAAAAGAAGATGGAAGGAATACACACAGTTTCTGTACCAAAGAGAACTGGCTGATGTTCAA